CTTAAATTTAATTTGGTCAAATTTTACTTTATATAGTTGGTATCAGTCATTGGTTTGACAGTTAATGTAAAAATCGATTCGCCATGCCGTCCTTAATTTACTTATTTACAATAAGCGGCTGTTAATGTTAAAGAAGAAAAAAATGATTTTCTTTGGTGTTAAACAAAATTTATTGCCAGAAAATTCTCGTAAGTACTAGAAAAATCATAAATATATTATAACCAATATGCAAAATATTACGCTCTAGCCAACCTATAAAATCAAAATTTTGGGTGGGATAAAGTATCTAATTAAAGCACCGAAAGCGGTGTTATGTCTGGCGTATATGGAGGCTAGGGCATCATTACAGTATTGTTTTTGGACAAAAATTTTGTTCAAAAACAATTTTGGAACAAATTTTTCTGCCACGCGTTTCATACCCAAAACATTCGAAAAAATTTCATGAGATAAGCCAATCGATTTACCAACATCATCAGCGACTTCTCTGATGGTTTATAACCATTTCTTCCACTTTTTCCATGTTTTTATCGCTTGTTAATGTGCTTGGGCGTTCGGGACGTTCGTCATCTTCAACGTCTTTACGGCCATCTTGGAAACTCTTATACCACTTGTAAACTCTTGTTTTACTTATGGCAGACTAACTATAGGCCTTTGTTAACATTTCACAGAATTTATTTAATTTTTTTAGCAAAATCGCCGAGCTCATAAAACACGTCTAACCTTAGCGGATGCCACAGACAAAGTAAACGATGAAAACAGCTAAAGTTTTTATAATACTTCGGGGGAATGTATACCAACATAATAAAGAAAATTTTATGACAACCGGACCCTCCGAACCCGCGAAATTTAACAATTTCCGTTATTTTCTGAACACACCTCGTATTTAAGTCCAATCAGATGTTGGGTTTTATCTTGAGAACTACAAAAGATTTCAAAAATATATTTACAATTAAAAAACTTTATGAATTAGTGGTAAAATGTCACTAGGAATACTGTAGCTCTGTTTGGTCACCTTCATACAATATTCATATCAATAGTTTTGAAACTGTGCATGGTAAATTTTTCAAATATGTTTATTTAAGCTCTCTGAACACCAAATTTACCTCTCATTTGAAAATGTTACTTTGTACCTTGACTTGATTTCCATGTCCGATAGAAGAACTTTTTTGGATCTGTGCTTATTTTTTAAGATTATTAATGGTTTTATTTCTGCTCTTGATTAGTTGTCTAAAATAAATTTTTATATTCGCTATAATACTTACGTAATAATCGTTTTGTGCCTACCATTTGGTAAACTGGTTAATGTGTATTCCGATTTGGTTGATTTTACAGGAGTTTCCATAAATGTTTTTAAAAATCAGTTAAAATCAGTGTTGTAATAAATATATAATCATTACATGTTTAAAATTTGTAACATTTTATTTATGTTAATCGTAAGCGCAATTATTGAGTATTGTTTTTGTGGTAATAAATTGTTTTCCAAATATTGTGTTGTATGTACTGTTTGTTGTAAAAAGCTATATGCGTAAATAAAGGTTATTATTATTAATATTATTTTTGCAATAATTATTATTATATTTTTCGCTAACAATTAACATACTCTCTAAAAATTAATGGGTCAAAAATGACACCATGGTATCCCAAAATCCGAAAATACCATAAAAAATTATGAAAGTGGAGCAGTTTTTGAGATATAGTCAATTCCATATGAAATGGAAAATTGACTATATCTCAAAAACTGTTCTACTTTTTTAACTTTTGACGACATTTTCGGATTCAGGGGACAATTTTACATAGGAATTTTAGAATATCATGGTATTCCATGGTTAACCATGGTACAAGTGAAAAAGCAGCCACTAATAACTATTAAATTAGTCATTTGTGACTTATTCATTTTTAGAGATAATAATAAATAAAATGTTAAAAATTTTGTACGTATTGAATCATTTTAGTCACGAGCTAAAGTTGGAAACAGTGGCTTTTAAGCTTTTTAGTCACGGGCTAAAGCAAATTTTCAAATTTTTAACAAATAAAATTGGCTCTAAATTCTGGTTTCTGTTTGTCGTAGATAAAGTATAGTATGCAACTCGTTTGTAAACTTCTCTAGATATTCGTTTTTATTAAACACTCCACCGATGTTTATAAAACTTGATACATAATATCGATGGTTATTTTACAAAACATCGTAAGCGACAAAACCTAAATTTTACAGGAGAAATTTTTTTTTGTGTGGGAGCTTTATTTTTAAAGTTATTTATCTGAAAACTGGTGAGGCATTATTTTATTAATGTAGAATTCAAATATTTAAGTAAGATCGAATCCAATCTAAAATTTTCATTAAATTTTGTGGCATACGATATTTTATAAGAACATCTTTAGGAAAATGTAAAATTAGTCTTGTCGCTTAAGTTACATTTACGTTATTTTGTGGGATATAGATTTGATGATTACTTTTGTCAAAACATCGTTAGCGACATTTATTTTTTTTACTTTTATTATTAAAACGATATTTTGTCAAACAATGTTTGAAAATGAAATTCTACATTAGCTTTCTTTAATTTTTATTCAAAAACCAGTATCTAACCCCGAACTTAATAGGGGAAATTGACAAAACCAGCCTTCTAAATTAAGTTTCTTTTTTTAACCACCAGCAGCGCTGATTGTCGATGCTAGCGTTTCGGTACAAATTAAACAATTGTTTCAGAATAAACGGAACACCAGCGCACTCTTATCTTAGGAAGATTCTTGTTTACATTATGTTCGGACTCCTTGTGTAGGCTCCATGATCTAACCCACGGACCGTGGGCCACGGTACCATGATCGTTATAAATTCGAGTCAAATTATTTGACGCTATAACAACATACAATTACTACAAAAAACACTTTTAACGAACCACACCACGTAAAAACAATTATAATTAGGGTAACTATTAATAATGCAAGGAAAAATAGTTATTTATGTCATTAGGTTAAGAAGTAAGGCTTTTTGTGCTAAGCTCAAAGTTTGAAGGCCGACGCGTAGCGGAGGCCTACAATTGAGCGAAGCACAAAAAGACACTTCTTGGCCGAATGGCATACAAAATTTTATCTTCAAAGCACTTTATATAGGTCAATTTAATTCAACATGAAAGCGGTCTAACCTCACTTTTTTAGAATGTCATTTATTTATTAGCTAAAGATTACATTAAATGTACAATAATTATTATTCCTTTTAGAAGCAGTAATAGTTTGACAATACCTAGCTACATGATTTAAGTAGAAATGGATTTTTGTAAGAAAATGGTTTACTTACCCTCTTGCTATTACATTGAATTTAATTAATTGTTTAATAAATAGATATCTAATTTCAATTTGTTTGCATTTTTATTAAAAAAATAGGTAGTTTGGAATGTTTACGCTGTGTTTAACATTTAATTTCACTAAAAACTTAAAGCAAATTAAAACTTAAAGATAATTTAAATCGTAGAAAAAGAAAACACATCAGTGAAATTCACAGAAACGTCAAATTGTAATGTCCTAACCTCACTTTTTGTTTTATTATTCATATTTAATTTTACAATAATTTAATGAAAAATAATAAACATTAACAGTAAAACAAACAAATCAGTGCTTATTATAAATAAATTAAACCAGTTTAGTACGTTAATTTCTTAGAAAAGGATTAATTTTTCAAAACAATACCCCTAGCGAGAAAAAATCGAACTAATTACTTGCCTCATAAAATTTTTTATCGGCCTAGGCCATAACAAGTTATTTCTTTATCGAATGTTGACAACAATAAAGTTTAAATTATAGACCGCGTGGAGATAAAAGGAATTATAAGCTTTTGATCAAATAAAATATTGTTTTAAAACTTGGTAGCAATCACGACGATGCGGGTATACTCATTCCCGCTCTAAATAGTTTAGTTAAGAGCGGGAATAACGCCTTGATAGATCAAGGCGGGAGCACAATATTATCGTAAGCGACACAATGTTAAATCGCAAACGCCATGTCTCGGAGTTGCTTACGATTATTTGTCGGGAACATATAGGCGCTTACGTTATAAATATTCAAACTGGCCAATATTAGATTCCAAAATTGGGATAACTATTATATTAACATGTGCAGCTGCGTAACTGACACTTAAAAATAAAAATTAATTCAACAAAATTGTCGCTTACGATGTTTTGTCAAATAACCATCGATATACTATAAAAACCGAATCGATTGATCAACCGCTAAACTTTTAACTATAAATGTGTTTTTGGACGGAGACGGAGCCTGAAGTTTAAAGCATTTTTTTATTATACTTTTAATTGATAATAACAAAGTTTCTTTAAACTTCAGGCTCCGTCTTCGTCCAAAAACACATTTATAGTTAAGTGTAGTGGTTGGCAAGTTTTTGCTGCCTTCTTTCTGACCCTTTTACTTAAGTTGCTGTTCTCTCTAAATAGTTTATAGTAGTAATATAGATGTAGGTATATTATGGATATTTGAATATTAGATAACGTAGACGTTATAGCAGGGGCGGATTAAAAACAATTATTTAGGGGAAAGTGAATTATTTATTTTTATTTTTTTTCTCACTCAACATTTCTTTTTCAATACTAAATCCGCTACTGCCTTACAGTATGGTAAAGCAAGAGGTAAAACACTATTTTTCTACAACCAAGCGAAAAGAATATATTTGCGCTTTCAAAAGAAAACGCAAAGTTGCACTTTTCCGAGGAGCGAGCGTTTTTTTACTTTGTCGCTCGCCGAGCTTAGTTACCATGGAAACCATAATAAATAAACGTTTAGTGTATTTGCGACTTTTGACACAAACGTCAAATTTAAGGTTATCAATAATTATTAATTTTTACCAAACATTCTTATAGAAACACCGGCGCAGCGGTTGTAGAAATCCTGTGTGTATTTCGAGCGCAAAGTGACATTGCCGCTCTCGCGAGATAGCCTCGCTCAGAGCGGCAATATACATATCACTTTGCGCTCTTAATACACAAATAGCTATTACCTACCTTCATTAACCAACTTTTTGGACACCATCTCTTTAGCATCGCTAACAGCTTTATTTAACACATCCTGCATGGCCTTCTTAGGCTGCTTTCCATTCCTTCTACCAACAGGATCCTTTTCGAAGGTGAAGCCTCCACTAGGAATGCACTGGTCCCCCCAGGTATCCACAAGCTTGAGCTCCTCTACCTGCTCTTCGGTCAACCCCAAGATTTCCGGCGGAAACAACGTTCCATATTTGGCTAGTTCCTCGATTTCGCTGCAGATTCGGCTTACTTTAAGACGACCGTTGTAGATAGCGACCACCGTCTTCACCAGGTCTTCGATTGGGGTTTTTAATGAAGTTTCGATGAGAAATTGGCTCTCGTCGCCTTTTTTAATGTGGATTATCACCATTTTTGAGGTTTTTATTGGGCTTGTCACTTTTTGACTTTATATTTATGTGTTGTGTTTGATAACTAATGGTTGTTTGATCGATATGTTCATGAAAATGTTATTGGTTGCGTTAGCTTGGAAATTGGTCATATTGATTTTCATAGAAAACAGGGTTATTTGCTTAGTTACAATTTTGATAACAATAGTTTGATTTCAGTTTAAATCTTAAGTAGGTATACTTGTAAGCTGAACATAAATAATAATAAATATTTAATTATAATTAACATTTTAAATAATTTACTAATTTAGTGCAGGCGATAAAATTTATTATTACCATATAATAATTAGGTTTTAACCATATACAAGGCTTTAACAAATTATAACCCCTTAATAAAAATTATCACTAGGGTTCAGTTGTACAGTTATCTGTGGAATTAAGTAAATGAACAAATACCATGGACTTTTAAAAAGCTTATTAAAAATTTAAAATGTTTTAGTCCATTTTTGCAAATTGTTTATCAACTAATAATAATCTTTATGCACGATGACATTATAATATGACAATTATAACAAAAATTCTTTGACGTAAACGTCTTTAAAAGCAATAATATATTAAATATAATAATATATTAATCGTGCATAAAGTTTTAGTCCATTTTTGCAAATTGTTTATCAACTAATAATAATCTTTATGCACGATGACATTATAATATGACAATTATAACAAAAATTCTTTGACGTAAACGTCTTTAAAAGCAATAATATATTAAATATAATAATATATTAATCGTGCATAAAGTTTTGTATGCATTGCTGGCATAACTGGTTTTTATAGTCCTACGACGCTTTTCTAGCCCTCGCGCTAACTCGCTCGGGCTCGAAATAGCGCCTCGGACCATAAAAACCTTATTATGCCCTTAATACATAAATAACTATTACATAATATGTGGGAATATTATATATTAATGGGTAAACGTTGGGCTCTTGAAATAGACATTTAAAAAAAAATTATTAGTATTTTTCTGGACTTTTTTTAATAAAAGAAAAATAAAAAAAAATAGTTCGAACGGTATAAGTAGTCCGAGTCCTATTCCCAGTGGGGGCCAGCCGCGGCTGGTGGATTTTGGGTACACCGATATCTCAGTTATTAGACATGGGACCCATACCAAATTTATATGAGTTTATAATGACATTATATTGATATGTTCTGCACAAGCAGAATTTAAATTGAAGTTTGCGGAAAAAAGTTAGTTTTTTAGTGTGCACCCCCAGCCTCCTGCCCCCCAAATTAAGATAATTCAAATTAAAGTGGTTTAATTTATAATTCACTCCAGTTTATCAAAAAAATTCAAAATTTATTTAAAAAGTCCAAGTATTACAGATTTTATATTATTTCTATTTTTTTTTAAATTTATAAATAGATATAATACAAATTTAAAATGGTATAAAACCTGTAATAATTTATAATTCACTCCAGTTTATCAAAAAAATTTAAAATTTATTTAAAAAGTCCAAGTATTACAGATTTTATACCATTTCTATTTTTTTTTTAATTTAGAAATAGAAATAATAAAAAGTAAAAATGGTTAAAACCTGTAATACTTGAATTTTTTTAATAAATTTGGAAATTTATTAATAAACTGCAGTGAATTAAATATTGTATCACTTTAATTTAAATTATCTTAATTTGGGGAGCAGGATGCTGGAGTGCTCACTTGAAAACTAAGTTTTTTTTCGCAAACTTCAATTTAAATTTTGCTTACGCAGAACTTGTCTATATAATGTCATTATAAACTCATATAAATTTGGAATAGCAAGAACTATAAATTCGATTTTTTAACCAACAACCCCTTATACATTTTCCGCCATCTTGGATTAAGAACGAATTCGTGTTTCGCGAGGAACACCCGCAATTGCGGTTCTGAGGGCCGCATCATAAAATTCTTCGCATATATGCAATTTTATTGATGATTTGTAATAGGTTTAAAATACCTATTTGTGTGTATTATTGTTTTTATTAAAAAAAAAGTTTGGGGTGTATGAATATTAACATTAATATATGTAGTTGACAAATGAAGCAACTAAATAAATGACCTATCAGACAGAAAACACCTATATTTCTATACTTAATAAATTTCATTTTGGAAAAGCTGCTTTTGCAGAGAAAATTTTTTGGATTTGGTTTCATAATTGTATAAATTTGTTCAACAAACTGGTGCTAAAAAAGTGACAGGAACAACTTGTGAAAAATTGTAGAAAATGACACTTTTGCAAAAGTGTTATTTTCCAAAGATTCTTTCAAACATTCATTTCTAAACTTATGCAACAACAAATGATCATGTTAATAGCTTAGAAATTAATTAGAACAGTATATTTTTTATGGACATCTCAATAAACTATTTTTAAAACTTTTTAAAGTTGTTATTTCAAATTTCGTGTCACGTTAAACTCTAACATTATAAGAACAATATATTAATTTATATTGTTACTTTTTATGTTGTTTTTAATTTTTAATAATACTTGTTAAGTAGTAATTTTTAATTAAAAAACATTTTAGTTAAACTACATTGGCACCGCTAAATTTGTCTTTACGTCCTAATGTTATTTATTTATCAAACTCTTCAAATGGAGATATATATAGTATACTATAGTAGATAACCTTATTTAAATACTTTTTATAAATCTCCACCTGGTTTTGATATTCCAAATTTTTTTCAATAAAAAACATTATGGTATTTTAGTACCTAATATATAATTTACTAAACCATAATAATACCTTTTGAAATAAATTTAAAATCTGTAACAGTTTCTATTTTTAATGATACTAAAAACTTTCATGGAATTAAAACAAATTATGGAATCTTATGTACTTATTTTAATTTTAATACCTACTACAATATAGATCAGGGGAAAAAATTAGATTTATTGCCAAGCAAGCCGAGGCAGTAGATTGTGTGCGAGGCAATTAAGCAGAGTAAGCTGTCGCCGCCGTGTCTTATATATTATTTTTTTTCAAGCATTTAATAATAATATTATCTTTATTGATTGTAAAAAACATATTACAAACAAAAGGCGAAGTTCAGTACCCTACACTAGGTAGTTTACTGCTCTTCCACCTAATTAAATTATTTCTTAAGATTCTGTCACATCATTTTTAGGTTAGGTTCAACTGACATGTTAGCTTCATTTCTGTACGGAGTTTATAATAATTTAACTTTTGAACTATAGTAGATATTATTATAAACTCCTTCTTGTAAGTCTTATAATATAAAATTATTGTACGCTTAACAAAAAATTATAATATATGCACATGTTAACATTATTTCTGTAAAAAATAAATTACTTATTTAAATGGGTTTATGAAACAAGAAAGTTAAATTGGACATTTTAGTATTTTAAGTTTTTTCAAATTTATTCTAATTCTATATATGCATGCGCCATTAATACAATTATTTAAATAAAATATAAGTACTTTCTTATAAAACCTGTACCACGCCTTTAATAACTCAAAAACTCTTCACCAATTACCATGGCAAGCTGCAATAAATTTAAATGAATACTTTACTCACCGAAGCGTAAATTTAAAATAAAAAAAGTTTTTAGCGATAATGACATTCACCATTAAAACACTGGGCATTGCCAAATGACCGAATATTTGGGTTAATAAAAGTAAAGCAAATAATGATTTATAAATTATCCGTATTAAATAAACAATTTTAATTGATGGTAGTGAGAGTGAATGCTTCTTTCTCGTTGTGTAGTGAAAGAATAACCGAAAGGATTCTGATGTTAGAATGTCTTAAATATTACAGTACTAATAGTTGATACAATTTTTCACTTTTAATATCTTATTTATTAATTCACCTTAATATAAGTTAACTATTACTTGCCTTAAGCGGTCTAAGTTTTTTTCAAAATATTGAAAGTTATAGAAACCGCATTTGTTTCAAATCGCAAACAAGTAAGCTAAAAAGCCTATTTCTACAAACAAGGTCGGGCTGGACAGGGCGGCAGGGCCAAATCTCAGAAGTTGTGGGGCCAAACCAGAACATTGCCAATTTAAATGGGATATTCTTGAACATTGATTTAATTAATGATTTTAACTTTGAACAAAAAATATATATACGTTTAACGTATACGTATACGTATAGCGTAATATATTACGCTATACTATTAAATTTAACATAAAAACATTTTTTTTTAAATCACATTAAAGAATTTGTACGTTTTCAATTAAGTGGCTCAGTTTTAAACTGTGGAGAAAATTGGTCTCTTTCTCCACTGTTATTGTACAATGAGACGACGAGATTATAATTTTCTCCACGTTAGTATTTATGAAGATTATACGCTAAAGAAGAACCGAGTTTTCGCAACGCGCGCGCCATCTGGTGGCGCTTCATAGCATTATTTAAATTCAAGGTTTGTCAACAATACATTTAAGGCATGCGAACATCATTTATAAATAAATAAGTAGTTTTTTTACAAAAAAAAGAAAGGCAGAAGTCTTACTCGACAAATGTTATTCGCAAAGTTGCAATTCCACAGCTTAACCGCGCACGTTATGTGTGTTTCAAGTTGGGGCATTCCACGTTAATCGGTAATTTTTGTCCCGCCCGTCACAATTAAAAATTGTGAGTAAAGACCACAAGTTTTAAAATTAATATTTTATAATATTATTTTTATTGTGCTTATAACTTATTAAAAGCATAATAAAACAATATTTTTAAATACATTTTATAACGTGTAGTATTTACTCACAATTTTTAATTGTGACGGGCGGGACAAAAATCCCCGAGTAACGTGGAATGACCCAGTTGCAAGTAATAACTGAAATACTTTGAGTTGTTTAATAACTCGATTTCGATTAATGTATTTTATCTAATTTATTATAGTAAATTATTGTGTTTTTAATTGTAAATGTAATTCAAAAACTAATTGAAAGTTGAAATTTCAAAGGATACAATTCGGTAGGTTTATTTGCTAGTGCAGAATTAACTAATGATAACTTTACCTATTATACAGTGCGCATCAAAATTAACGCACAATAAGCAAAA